ACACATTTACACATTTATGTCCTCATTTGTCACAAAAACACTGACACACACACACACTGACACACTCACACTCACACACACACACACACACACACATCCTAATGAATGTCTCTGGAGGAGCATCTTCAGCATTCAGTCTCGGATGGCTTTAATTGAATTTCTGCTTCAGCTCGAGCTCTCTGGATGATTCGGATCCACAACACAACGATTTCATTTAAAGGGATAGTTCACCCAAAAATGAAAATTTTGTCATTAATTACTCACCCTCATGTTGTTCCAAACCCGTAAGACCTTCGTTCATCTTCGGATCACAAATTATGATATTTTTGATCAAATCTGAGAGCTCTCTGCCCTGTTGAAAAAAACAGCATATGCTGGTTAGGTATGTTTTGATGCTGGTTTATGCTGGTCCTTTGCTGGTTTATGCTGGACCTAAACTGGTCCGACCAGCATAAACCAGCAAAGGACCAGCTTAAACCAGCAAAGGACCAGCATAAACCAGCAAAGAACCAGCAAAGGACCAGCATAAACCAGCAAAGAACCAGCAAAGGACCAGCATAAACCAGCAAAGAACCAGCAAAGGACCAGCATAAACCAGCAAAGAACCAGCAAAGGACCAGCATAAACCAGCAAAGAACCAGCAAAGGACCAGCATAAACCAGCAAAGAACCAGCAAAGGACCAGCATAAACCAGCAAAGGACCAGCTTAAACCAGCAAAGGACCAGCATCCCAGCTTCAAAACATACCTAACCAGCATATGCTTGTTTTTTGACCTCCGTAGACAGTAATGCAACTGTTCCCAGGTCCAGAAACGTGGTAAGGACATCGGTAAAATAGTCCATGTGACATCAGGTGTTCAACCGTAATTTTACGAAGCTACGAGAATCATTTTTGCGCGCAAAGAAAACAATAATAACGACTTTATTCAACAATTCGTCTCCTCCGCGTCACCCTGACGCTATTTTGGAGAGTATCACTACAACGTATGTATGTGGATATGTTGTTTACGTTGTTTACACTTTATCGGAACGTAAACAACATATCCGCGTACATACGTTGTCACATGGATTATTTTACCGATGTCCTTGCTACGTTTCTGAGCCTTGATCGTGTTAGGACTCTTGCTGTCTATGAAAGGTCAGAAAGCTCTCTGAATTCATCAAAAATATCATAATTTGTGTTCCGAAGATGAACGAAGGTGTTACGGGTTTGGAACGACATGAGGGTGAGTAATTAATGACAGAATTTTCATTTTTGGGTGAACTATCCCTTTAGAGGTTTCTGCCGGTTCTAAAAGAAGGTCTTAATTGGCGCTTTCACGAATTGAAAGGTCTTAAATCCGATCAGAAAGTCGTGAATTAATAAAAAAGTCATGACTGAATGTTGCATGCACTGCAAAAATGAATATCTTCAGTATTTTCGTTTTATTTAAAAAAAAAAATCGAATAATCAAGATATGTTTACTTGAGATAAAGATATAAAGTCCTGTTTTCTAAGAAGTCCTTTTGCTTCTAAGGTAAATGTATCTTTAGACATTTGCTCTGGAAAACAAGACTTTCTTAATGAATTAAAAAGTAAAGACAATCTGTTGGATGTTCGGTATTCAAACGTTTAAGCATTTACATTTAGAGATCATTCATATTGTCTTCCATTAAATGTATAAGGAATACATTGAATTGAAAACAACACATATGATTACAATACAAATTGGTTTTAAAAAGTGGGTTAGTCTTAAATGTACCTTTATTAAACCTGTAGAAACCCTGATTTACTGGAAATGTATTCAGCTCAGTTAAACTTATGAATGTTTGTTTCTCAATATTAAAAACTAGTGCTGTCAAACGATTAATCGCATCCAAAATAAGTTTTTGTTTACATAATATATGTATGTGTACTGTGTATTTATTATGTATATATAAATACAAACACATGCATGTATATATTTAAGAAAAATATGCTATGTTTATATATTAAATATATTTATATATAATAATATAAATGTATATACGTACATGTAGATATTTTCAAAATATATACTGTATGTGTGTGGGTATTTATATATACATAATAAATAAACAGTATACATATAGTATGTAAACAAAAACTTTTATTTTGGATGCAATTAATTGTTTGACTGCACTAATATATATATATATTCCCCAAATGCATTTGTAAAAAGTATAGTATTTTACTAATGAATTTCTTGTGCACTAAGTTTGTGCTAGTTGAAAGCATGAAATAACTACATTTAGAGTGTATTTTCAATTAGTATAGACATGTAAATCTATTTTTAGTATACTTATGAAATAAATATATTTTAAATACAATTAAGTATATTTATTTTTCACTAGGAGTACCCTTGCTGTCTATGAAAGGTCAGAAAGCTCTCGGATTTCATCAAAAATATCTCAATTTGTGATCCGAAGATGAACGAAGGCCTTACGGGTTTGTAACGACATGAGGGTGAGTAATTAATGACAGAATTTTTGGGTGAACTATCCCTTTAAGATCATGATTGTCCTTCGAAACACTATGATTTAATTGTACCTGTCGTGTCTTTCAGCTTTGAAACGACACAGAGAGGGCAAATGGTGTACTTTCTCTCCGCGGAGGGCATAAAGCCCTCGTTCCACTCCGCCGTCCTCTTCAACCCCGCCATCAACTACTCCGACAGGAATGATTCCTCCACGCCGACGCCCGTCGTCTGCCGTCTAGACGCCTCCTCGCCCACCGCCTTCCCGCAGAGCAACGTCTCGCTGACATCGTACGACCTGTCGCCGGCGGAGGTCACGCTCCTCGGCCTCGTGTTCGGGGTGTTCTGGGTCATATCGGTGCTGGGGAACTCGCTGGTGTGTCTGGTGATCCATCGGAGCCGCAGAACCCAGTCGACCACCAACTATTTTGTGGTGTCGATGGCATGTGCGGATCTGCTGTTGAGCCTAGCCTGCGCGCCGCTAGTTCTCCTGCAGGTTTCTGCCGGTCACTGGCCTCTGACCGCGGCTGCATGCAAAGCTGTACGATACTTGCAGCACCTGTGCCCCGGCGTCCAGGTCTACGTGCTTCTGTCCATCTGCGTGGATCGTTTCTACACCATCGTATATCCGTTGAGCTTTAAAGTGTCGCGCGAGAAAGCCAAACGAATGATTCTGGCGTCTTGGCTTTTTGACGCCGCGTTCGTATCGCCGTGTTTGTTCTTCTACGGATCGTCAGCGTCGCAAAACCACTGCGACTTCTTTCTGGCGGACAGCTGGGATGGGTTGGCGTACGCCGTCGCGCATCTTCTCTTTGGTTTCTTGGTGCCGGCACTGCTCATCGTGTCCTTCTACCAGCGGGTGGTGCGCTACATCTGGAGGATCGGCGCTGACGGGCGAACCGTGCGCAGGACCATGAACATCGTCCCCAGGACGAAAGTCAAAACCATTAAGATGTTCCTGATGCTCAACGCCGTGTTTCTCCTCACCTGGACGCCGTTTTACGTCGCACAGCTTTGGCACCCGAAGGAAACGACGGGCCCAAGCAGACGGTCGGCGCTGTTCTTCGTCGCTGTGGCCTGGATCTCCTTCAGCTCCACGGCGTCCAAACCCACGCTGTACTCTGTGTACAACGCCAACTTCAGACGCGGCATGCGAGAGACGTTCTGCATGTCGTCCATGAAGTGTTATCGCAGTAATGCATACACCATCACCGCCAGCTCGCGGATCGCCAAAAAGAACTACGTGGGCGTGGTCGATCTGCCCGTGCCGGCAAAGACGCTGATCAAAGACTCGGTTTACGACACTTTTGACCGAGAAGCAAAGGAGAAGAAGTTAGCATGGCCTATTAGCTCTAACCCACCCAACACATTCGTATAAAGGCTCAGAAATTAACGTTAAAGAGATAGCTTGCCCAAAAATGACAATACTGTTGTCATTTACTCACCCTCAAGTTGTTTCAAACCTGTATGAGTTGCTTTCTTAGGGGCCGTTCACACAGAACACGTTTTTCCATTGAAATGCGCTACTTTTTAATTGTTTTTCTATGTAAACGCATGCTAGACGGATGCGTATGACTGTTACGCTCGCGTCTCGCACATGAGCGCTGCGTTTTTAAGATGCCGTGTAAAGTTAAAAGAATTTTAATTTTTACATGTAGCGCTGCTCATCAATGTCAGTTCCAAAACAGTGGACCAATCAGAAGAGTGCGGAGGCGGGGCAAGCCTTGCAAGCTTTTGTTTACAGTAGCAAGTTGGCATGGCAACTGTTTTATTTGAACATGTTCGGCATTGCACTTTAAAAAAAACAACAACAAAAAAACATTCCTGGGCATCAAGCGATTTTAGACACAAAAGACATGTTCTGTGTGAACGGCCCCTTATAGAAGATATTTTGAAGAATGTTGGTAGCTAAACAGTTGATGGTCCCCATTGACTTCCATCGTGCTTGTTTTCATTCTATGGAAGTCAATGGGTACCAACTGTTTGGTTACCAACATTCTTCAAAATATCTTCTTTTGTGTTCAGCAGAAGAAACTCAGAAACACTTGAAACAACTGAGTAAACAATGACAAAATTCAAGTTTTTGGGTGAATGAGTCCTTTAACTCATTATAATGATATGTGGGTGAGTAAATAATGAAAATTGTTGAGCGAACTGTTGCTTTAACTTCCGTTGCACCATGATTACACACTACAGAATCAACATGACTAAATGAAATCTGTTGAAATGCAAAAAAACGTGGTGCTAACTAGTTCACATACTCACTGATGACATTGGAGGAAGACTACAAAACACCCTTATCGTCACTGCTGTGTTCCAGTGGAAGGAAAGTGTTGATCGTCATGTGCTCTTCTGTTCGTGTTTCTGATCAGTCTGTGATCCTACGGTGGCCCGATGACGCCAAATAGGGTTCATGTTAATCTTCAGAAGATGCGTTTGTGTTTTTTGTGCCTGTAGTTACAGATAAATTTTGTCTCATAGTTTGTGTGTCGTTTCATGATGCAAGACATGTCTCTGTGATTTTACAATTAAACATTCTGTACGTAAGCCACTGTCTGAACGTTCCTGTGACCGATTGGTTATATTTACTAAAGCTGTACTTCTAAGAGCAGTTCACCCAAAATGAAAATGAATTGAAAATGTGCTCACCCTCAGACCATCCAAGAGTTTGTTTCTTTATCAGGTTTGGAGAAATGTAGCGTTGCATCAGTGTCTCAGCAATGGATGCTCTGCAGTGGATGGGTGCCGTCAGAACGAGAGCTGATAAAAACAAAACAATAATCCACAAGTAATCCACAGCACTCCAGTCCATCAGTTCACATCTGGAGAAGACAAAAGCTGAAACTAATCCAGGACAGACCAGAAGAGTGAGGCGACACAGACCAGAAGAGTGAGGTGACACAGACCAGAAGAGTGAGGCGAGACTCATTTTGTCTATGAGAGACAAGACGATCGCGGATGATTTAGTTTCGAAACGAGATGCAAAAAGTGAAGAGTGAGGCGAGACAGACCAGAAGAGGGAGGCGAGACAGACCAGAAGAGGGAGGCGAGACAGACCAGAAGAGGGAGGCGAGACAGACCAGAAGAGGGAGGCGAGACAGACCAGAAGAGGGAGGCGAGACAGACCAGAAGAGGGAGGCGAGACAGACCAGAAGAGGGAGGCGAGACAGACCAGAAGAGGGAGGCGAGACAGACCAGAAGAGGGAGGCGAGACAGACCAGAAGAGGGAGGCGAGACAGACCAGAAGAGGGAGGCGAGACAGACCAGAAGAGGGAGGCGAGACAGACCAGAAGAGTGAGGTGAGAGACAAGAAGCGTGAGGCGAGACAGCCCAGAAGAGTGAGGCGAGACTCATTTTGTCTATGAGAGACAAGACGATCGCGGATGATTTAGTTTCGAAACGAGATGCAAAAGCATCTGTTTGGCAGTATTTTGGATTTTGAAAAGCCTTTTGACTTTTGCCGTTTATCGAAGGTGATTTTGGAAGTTTTTTTTTAAACATTCGTTTCTTATATAATTGGCTCCACAGTGTTTGCTGATTTTTACTTTATTTAAACTTTGTGTCATTTATTTTATTTTATTTTTTTACATCAAAGTGTATGCCGTGCCTCCAAGCTTTCTTACTCGTTTTGCTAATAAACGTTCTACGTTTCTTATTTATTTGGTTATATATTATACATGTTTACTTAGCCTATTTCCAGTTTTGTATACCTATTTAAACTTTATGTAATTTATTTATTTGTTATTTTATATTAGGCATAGCCTGCCCTATAGCCATGTGTATTTGTATTTGTTTTGTTAATAAAAGTTCTATGTTTTATATATAGGCTAAAGTGAGTTTGACGTTGTATTTTGTTGTTGCATTCAAGCAATTGACTCCCAACTGCCGCAAATTCAAAAGTGAAAGTAAAATGCGCACCGAGCTTAAAAGCGATGGAAAGCGAGGAAAAGAGGGAACGCCCCCGCGGTGATACCGGTATTACCGGTGTTGTCACACGTCGATTAACCAGTGGGAAAATGTCCTCACCATCACAACCCTAATGACTAGTGCTTGCCGTAGCAGCGCAGCTTGCTTCAGAAACCCTCCACCTCCCCCAGCTCACCCTGTATAGATCTGCTACGAGGTGATTCATGTACGCTATATGGGGGTTATTTCATGTATGTTATATGTGCAGCAGCAGCATGTTGTGGATGTATTGGCAGTAGCAAGTCTCGGTACTAGCTCTGCCACAGCAGCAGCGTAGCAGATCTATTCCGCCAAGACCAAATACATTAAAGGGGTCCCATTATGCTCTTTTACGAAGTCTTGATTTTGTTTTGGGGGTGTACTAGAACATGCTCTGATGCTTGGTGGTTCGAAAAACGCATTATTTTTCACATAATTTACATTATTAAAATACCTTTCTCCCTATCCTGGCACAAACGGCTCGATTAGTTCCGGCTTTGATGAAGGTCCGCCTTCCGAAAAACAAAATGTGTTGTGATTGGTCAGCTGTCCCAGTGCGTTGTGATTGGCGAACAGCTTAGACGGTGTTTCAGTACTGCCCCGCCTCTTGCTCCGTCTTTCAACAAAAGCTTTTGGGCGAATCCGGCACTACTCACTCGTGATGTGGAAGCTGTCCTCAGTAAAATGCGCAGCATACAATAGCAAATTGGGGTTATAATGCTCAGGAACAGAGTTAAAAAATAAATCACAACCACTGTTTCCTGACATCATCCGCTTTCGGAAGCCCAAACAAAGACGTTCGGGCACGGAGGTGAAAAAAACAGCGTTTCAGGCGGTCGCGCACCAGACGAAAAGCGCAGCGTCGCGCCACGTCTTTAAAATTTAAATACTTTATTTTCTATGAGTGTAGGCACACCGGCTACGTCGTGTTGTACTTGTAAGAATAGTTCTAGACATGCTGAAAATGTGAGGCTACAGCACAGCAGCTCTTCTTGGTTTTCTCTGATGCACTAACTCTGCAGCAGCTCTTCGTCGTCGTCTCGTCTGATGCGCTCACTCAACCAAGCGCTCTAACCTCGCCCTCCCCACCATTAGAATTTCTGTAGGTGGGAATTATTTGTAATGATATTCCAATGAGCCGCTTTGTGACATCACAAAGCCCGGAAAACAAACGCTGTGGTCCAAACAAGCCGTTCGTTGTAGTTCTTGAAAAGGGATTTTAAAAAAACGAAATATCTCCCTTTGGAGTGGACTTTGAGATTTGTAACTTTCTAGATCTTTTTAGCATAATAGGACCCCATTAACATTGTCAGGGACATTACCATGCCAATCCCTCCGAGAGTTGTCACAACAGAATTACCCCTAGACATACCCGGGTATGTCACATAACCTGCTTTCTGGACCACCCCCCAGTTTGAGAGTGTGATTACCATGTCCAGCTCCTCGCGCAGCGCACAGATGGCTCTCTCCTTACTGGACACCAGCTCCTCCAGATACTGGTAGCGCAGCTTCTTTCTGGCACGACACTCTCTGGCGCTCTGCCGGCTTCGCTCCAGCTTGGCCTTCAGGTCGATCTTGGCAGGTTTGCGGCCACGTTTGCCGGGTTTCTTCACTTTTCCAGCAACCATCTACAGATCAGGAGACTTTACGGTCAAACACTCATGTGGTGATCACGCCACATAAATAAACAACACGATATAAGTGCTGTAAACAGAAGACAGAATTACAGGTTGGCTTATAAATGTGTGTTACATTTTACAATACTGACACTGGTATTGCTCTCAATTGAGCTGAACAATGACTCTATTTCCCTATGTAGAGCTGCTTTATAGACTACACATGAATTAATTTCCTAATTTATGAATTTTACAATGCTAACACTGTTGTTTTCCTGTTTTATTGAGCTAAATTCAAACAAAACTGAACGGAATTGATCTGAATAATAACATTGTTGTCTGAGCTGCTTCACGGCTGTCTCATAATTGAATAATTTTACAACGTTAACACTATTATTTTCCTTGTGTCTGTCTGTGTGTGTGTGTGTGTGTCTGTGTCTGTGTCTGTCTGTGTGTGTGTGTGTGTGTCTGTGTCTGTGTCTGTCTGTGTGTGTGTGTGTGTGTCTGTGTCTGTGTCTGTCTGTGTGTGTGTGTGTGTGTCTGTGTCTGTCTCTGTGCTGCTGACACACACATACTTATATATGTGGTTTACAATGATATTCCATAATGGTTTTTATACTGTACAAAACCCTACACCTAAACCTACCCCAAGGGCTGGGTGGATTACTTACAAATTGTAATCTGATACTGATTCCAAATTGCATAACAAAATATGAAGTTAGTAACGTAATCCATTGCATTGCACATTTTCGGTAATATAATCAGACTACTTTTTGATTACTTTTAGATTACTTTTGAGTTTTGACCTAACTAAAAATACTAAATAGGATAATCTTGTACCATACTGATATAAAAATACAAAGAGTAAGAAAATATGATGACAACATGAAGTGCATCAAACGTCAAACGTTTATGAACCAAACAGGCTCATAAAGGAACTGCACAGGGTTTGTGAGTTTAATGAAAAGCTAATAATTATTTAGATCATAAAAATGTAATATCAAAGTAAATCATTTTAAATAACATCAATCAAAATAAAACCCTTACTAAAAAGTGAAATATTGTGTTTATCTGCATGTCATGTGACCATTAACCAACAGAACTGTGAACATGCAAATGTGATACTTAATTACTAAAATAGCTATTTTAAAATCTCAGGGCTATTCAAGTAAATATATTAGTGAAAGAGGTTCAGATGACTAACTGTTTTGGGAATGCCTGTATAAGAAATAATGTGAATTTGTGCATTTAATGTTAAGCTAAACCTTTCAAAGACATATACATGGTTAAATAAGCTGAGTGATAATTCAAATAAACATTCATGTGTTCATGATGCAATGTTGAAACACGTCTTAATTATTTCACTTATTTTAGAAAGGAACATTTAAAAGATGAAACAGGGAGAATCAGTAAATTATGAATAATGTGTTGCTGTTGTGTGAATAATATGTAATCATGTAATCAATAAAAAGTACCTGTAGTTTGATTACTTATGAGTATTTTATGACTATACACAATGCATGCATGCATCTTATTTTAAAATGGTCATGCTTGTCATGATGCCACAACAGCGCTGTATAACTGATGTAGGCAATGTTTTATTTATTTTTTCCTTTTTATTCGAAATATTCCCAAACGTGTTAACTAGCTATATCATGAAATATCTCGATTCTCAAATATGTGTAAGTAAATGCATTTTGCACCTTTATAGATCATGTTAGTTGATTTATAACGGGCGATGGGCAAAGTAGCCTAATGCTATTGTAATCTATTAACTAAGCATAAAATCCATCTTTTTACTTAAAGCTGCAGTCCGTAACTTTTGGCGCTCTAGCGGTTAATAAACAGAACTGCGTGCGTCTTGCGGAAGAACATTGTAGCCGGAACTACTTCTCTCTGTTTATGTCTAAGGCGAATCACGCAGGTACTGGGCTCCTCCGAACCAGTCTAAATAGTCCGAATATAAACACTTATTATAGGTGTACCGTAGTGATTCAAGACAAGCCAAAAACACTGTTTGGAAAATTGATTAATGGTGTACTCGCTTATTATATAAATTTAGTAAATTATGAACACAAAAAAGTTACAGACTGCAGCTTTAAGTACCATGCCATAAAATATTTTTAATACGACTGGCTTTGTATTTAATGTGAATTTAATAAAAACACTGTAAGTTACTAATTATAACACTTTCATTGGAAGAGCGCAAAGAACATTTACATTAACAAAGAACATGATCATTGACGTCAGTCTAGCCGGTGCTTGACTCTGATTGGCTGAGCCGCGGTCGAAGCTGTTGTGAATGACGCTACAAAGTAACACACACCTTTGTTTACGTTTGTGTGTTGCTCGGCAACCACTTTGTAGCAACCACAACTGTTTCTGAGGAGCTACATTGTTTGGTGGAAGAATACTGTGTTTATTAATATCATTACACTTTATTTGCTCTGCTTTATTTTGTGAAACCTTACTACGTATATAACCGTTTTATAAAAGCAGTAACCCCCGTGAAGCCGTGGTTTACAGTGAATTTATAACAGCTAAGGGATGACGCAAAGCGGAGTGCCTAAAACCCCCTTAGCTGTTATAAATTCACTGTAAACCACGGCTTTTTGAGGCTTATTGCTTTAATCACACCGGTGTGATCATATCAAATATAAAACATATTATTCAAGCTGCATTCAAAATCCACTTGGCTCAAAAATTTGAGGAAAAAATCATTTACCCAGCTCTGCCTACCCCCACACAAAACTTTCTTCATTTTTAGATTTTCAAAAAACTTAATTCTGTATGGCTTATAAGCTTGTTTCCTCATGGGGACCAAAAAATGTCCCCGCAAGGTCAAAATGTACTGGTATTGCTATACTTGCGAGGGCCCTATAACGTAGCCTATAGGCCACACACACACACATGTTGGTTTGTATGGTTTATGGGGACTCTCCATAGGCGTAATGGTTTTTATACTGTACAGACCGTATATTCTATTGCCCTACACCAACCCTACCCCTAAACCTACCCCTCACAGGAGACTTTCTGCTATTTCAGATTTTCAATACACTCCATTCTGTGTGATTTATAAGCGTTTTGAAAAGTGGGGACATGGGGTAATGTCCTGAAAAGTCACCTTCTCCTTGTAATACCTATGT